TTTGTTAAGAATTCGCCACTTTTCACTGAGTTTCATCATTTATTCAACTCATGACAATAATCTTTTCAACGTTGCGAATTTGTTTTACAATACATCAGTTCATGTGTAAACAGTATCTTTAATCAGTATGGAATAGTTTGCAAAATCTAGTTTAGAACAGTTGACTGAAGTGAGCGGCTACATTTACACTAGTGAGTCTAAACTTTTGATGGGTAGTATATAAAACGTCAGGCACAGTATTTGTATTGATTAGTCAGTGCACACATCAATTAGTTATGAGCACAGAACGCACACAGTGTAATGCTGCATTGAACTGGATACAATGCGCCTCGGAGATTGCTCCACATACAGACATTTTCTATTGTGTAAATTATAGTGCCGGTAGTAAGGTGATACTAAAGCTACTCTGTTCAAATATGACTCGCAAAAAACCCAATGTCGTACAACTGAAAGTATTCTGCCTCGATGCATATCCAGAGGTGTTGTAGCCTAGTGGTTAAAGCGTTCGCTCGTCACGCAGAAGACCCGTGTTCAATTCTCCACATGGGTACAATGTGTGAAGCCCATTCCCGGTGTCCCCCGCCGTGATATTGCTGTAATTCACTAAACGCGCGTAAAACTAATCCTACTCACGAAACCTAAACTTATGTTAGGTTTAACATGAACGCCTAATTCAAGTGCCGAAAATGGGTAATGAAGTCTCAAATGTCCACAATATGCAAATCAGTCTCGCTGCCGTTCCATTAGAATAGATTACATTATATTTGGTATTATTATTAGCGCGTGGTTATGCTAGTAAGTTGTTTTATGCCGCACTTAGGCGTATTTCAGCTGTACGTCATCAGTCGAGTGACTGATATCATGAGCATCGTTCCAACTAGTTTGGATTCGGCGATATGCCATTAACCGAGTCAACGAACATGATCATATTCAGTTTAAGTCCTATAGTTTAAGACTTGTGTGAAGGTCTGTATATTTCGCTTGCCTTAAGAGGGAGGAAAGGTTTTAGAAAAGGCGACTAAGTGAATCAGGTGACGCTGCCATGAATATACAGAAGTATCCATCAAGAACAAACATAGTATGAGTTTCAGCAACCTGACTGTAATAGGCGACGAACAGTTTGGGTAGTCAAGCCCGCTGATTTCATCGGAACATGCCATCGTATCTCAATGGATGTTCATAGTTATAGTCACTGGGTTATCTGGTCCAGATCTGGTCCACCATCATAGCCGCACTGTCGATGAGGCCTCCGATCAACAACACATATATCTAGTCTATGCTCATGATGTTAATCACTGGTTTATCATGTCCAGACTCTAATATTCACATGTACTATTGCTGAGTGCGACGTTACACAACAAAGAAACAATCAAACATATCTTGCTGAAGACATCATGCACATAAGGTCATTAACTGGTACACCGTTTACATACATACAGTTATAGGGTCGTTACCTCGGCCACGTGCATCCCACTTTCAAAGAGCATGACCCATGATTGAACAAAGAAGTCGAGGTGCGGTCGACCAATATGTGAACGTGAAACATCCTTGCACTGTGATTTTTGAGACGCTTCCGTGACCTTGTTCGCAATGGCGTGGAGTACGACATAATGACGATTTTGTTGTAATCAGTTCCACTTCGCCCGTACCATTACGAATACGTATAATTGAACAGCAACCGCAGGATCAATCCGTACCCGAATATATATCCATATAAGGAATCATCAGGGAGATCTACTCAACCGAGGAGTGAGTGATTGAGTGAGTTTAGAATGACGCCGCTTTTAGCAATATTCCAGCAATATCACGGCGGGGGACACCAGAAATGAGTGAGTGAGTTTAGTTTTATGCCGCACTCAGGAATATTCCAGCTATATGGCGGTGGTCTGTAAATAATCGAGTCTGGACCAGACAATCCAGTGATCAACAGCATGAGCATCGATCTGCGGAATTTGGAACCGTGTCAACCAAGTCAGCGAGCCGGACCACTCGAACCCGTTAGTCGCCTCTAACGACAAGCATGGGTTACTGAAGATCAATATTCTAACCCGGACCTTCACGGGTAGACACCAGAAATGTTCTTCAAACATTGTACCCATGTGGGAAGTCTAACCCGGGTTTTTGGTGTGACGAGCGAAAGCTTTAACCACTTGGCTACCCAGCCGCCCCCAGTCTGAGAAGGAAGATTTTGACTGGTGTTGGTGCTAAAAGGTTTAGTTTGGTTGTCGTTTAAAGTTACACTCAGCAATGCTAAATCCAATGGCGGTAGTCTGTAAGTACTCGAGTCTGGACCAGACAATCCAATGATCAACAGCATGAAGTTCGATCTTTGCAATTATGATACGATGACATGTGTCAACCAAGTCAGCGAGCCTGACCACAGAACCCGGAAGTCTCCTATTACGACAAGCATGGGTTGTTGAAGACCATTTCCCGTTACCTCCACATGTCATATGGAATCCACCAAGCAGTGTGTGTTGAAATTAGGCTTGTTGATCCAGGAGTATAGTCTCGAGATAAAGCACAGTTTATTTATCATATAAATGATATATCGCAATACGCAACTTTTGGCAATACCCAACCCTATTACAGGTAGACGTACATCAGACCGCATTACGCGAGGGAAAAGCATACAACGTATTTATCTTACTGCCATGTTAAATGTACAAAATATCATTTAATTTTATTGGGAAGATCGCTACCGACTATGTGACTAAAGCAGTGAAAGTCGGTGAAATAAATGTCTACATAGTAAACTCAAAAACCCGAACTCCGGGCACTGCATGCGTCATATTATGACGTCATACGACTGTTAGCGATACAAATTTCGGCGGAGATTTGGCGGTTACCACGGCAGCGGGTAACTTTTTTTCCAGTTCTCACCCTCCTAGGAGGGGTGACACGGGGTCAAGCGTCATTGACCAATGGAATGAAATTATTTTACATGAAGGTAAGATACACAACAGCTGTCTTTATTGTGTTTCTGTTTACTTGAGTCCACAAGATGGCGTCAACGTCAGTACCATTAGCAGCAATTCCTGCTCGGCACCGTCTCGGCCCAGACTGGATAAGTCGACGAAGTCGCTTTTGCGGGTTTCTTCCCCACTCTTCCTGCAATGCGATGGTCAATTGTGGAAGTGTTTGGGGTGTTTTTCGACGTTGACGTACACGTAGATCGAGTTCATCCCATAGGTGTTCTATCGGGTTTAGATCTGGTGCTTGGGAAGACCATGGCAATGAAGACACTGACGTTAGAATTAATACAATAGATACAATTAACGAACCATAGGCAGTGTTTAGACGAGGTTACAACCAAACTGATAACATGTCTTTATCGCAGAGTACTTATGGGTCTATTTTGGTTTTGATTTGGTTAACACAGCACTAAGCAATTATTTAGCTGTATGAGTCTTGACCAGACAATTCAGTGATTGACGTGGTATTGATCAACGCAACTGGGATGCAATGTGTTAACGAACCTGACCACCCGATCCTGTTAGTCGCCTCCTATGACAAGCATGGGTTGCTGGAGACCTATTCTAACCTCGATCTGCACGGGTAATTTACCAAATTAAGAAACCTGAATAAATTATGTACCCTCTCAGAGACTAATACGCATAACGTGTCAGACACCTTTGATATAAACTGGTGTAAGATGGGGTTCAGAACTGCGGCCCTGTATTTTTTTAGCCATTTGAAGATGATGTTGGCGGTCTGCAAAAAAAAATAAATCAAGGAACTGGAAAATTGTTCCTTAAAATGGAAATTCACGTTTCCTGTGAACAAACAAGTGTAATTGTTTCTGTAATGGTGCGGTCCCAGTGCCGACCTCACGCTACTCGACCTTCTCGACCTGAAGGTCGAATGAGGGGTCGAGTTGGTCGAGTTTCAGAACGAGTTAGGTCGAGTCAGGTCGAGTCAGATCGAATCAGGTCTACCAAGTTTTTGAATTTTTTTTGACATGTCAAAGATTTTCCCCGACTTCCTCCTCGACCTTCGGTCCGAGATGGGGTCGAGAATAGGTCGAGGTAGGTCGAAAAAAGGTCGAGTTTAGGTCGACATTAGGTCGAGTTGGTCGAGTTGAAGGTCGAGCTGGCCTGACATGCCGATCTGTGTTCGTCTTAGAGTCGATCTGTACTCGGCCTCGACTCGACCTCGACTCGACCTTGAGTCGACCAACTCGAACTGGACTCGACTTGGACTCAACCTGGAGTCGACCGAGTCGACCTGAAGTCAACCTATCTCGACCTCAACACGACCTAATCGAGTCCGCGCCGACCGCATAAATGGTCGCCATCTTCCCAGATGCTTCATAAAAGCCAAACGGCAGCCAGTGGTAGCACATCATCTCCACACCAACCTGCTGCCACCCAGAGGTCCACCCTGAGCACACCACCCTCTCCAACACGCCGCAAAGCAGCGAAACAGGCTGGTATCTTCCCCAGCTTTGACTCCAGTGCTGCAGCAGGTATATCTCTGTACCTACCAAGCGGTCTCTTGGACCCTACACACACCTCAGAGGATCAGTCACATGTTCAGGACTCTCAGCAAAGACAGTGAAACTGATAAGTAGAACTTGGTACTCATATATTGTCATGAGCACTTTATACTGATGTGAAATGTTACCTTCAGATTATTTAAATGAGTTTCCAATACAAGATTTAAAAGCTTTTTTATCGGATATTTTTTTGTATTTTCCATCCATTGCTAAGTGTAAATGTAAATGCATCTTGTACGATTGTAATAAAGTTTGTTCTTTTCATCATGTATATAGTTAGTTTTCATTGTGTGTTTTTTTCGCATTTACCAATTGTAAATAGTGTAAATAAAATACAAACAAGAGTTCCTTTGTAAATGAAGTAGTCCTAAATAATAGAGTACACTTTAGAGTCATTTGGATATCATCTTCTCTTGCCAATGAACAGCTCCTGGGCCCATGAAATAGTCCTTCAAATAGTTTCTTTGGTTGGCGCCATCTAGTTGGGTAACGTTCCTCGTACCCCGGTTATCCCCATCAAGCAGCTGTGTGTAGGAGCGCCACTTGCCTGGGGTGAGTGAACAGTCCCCATTCCCCGGTCTATTAGGTTCATCTGACTGTTCCGGTTCCTCGTTCTCAGCATGTTGTGTAAAGTGACGCAGGCCTGGGATATCTGTTTAGGGAGCCGAGGAAGATCTGGAACCTCATAGCCAGAATCCCGAAGGTATTCTCCACCACTCGTCTGGCCCTAGACAGTCTGTAAAAGTCACAAATCAAACATTTTTTAAGTCAAATGCACTCAAAATTCAAAACCTTTGAGATAATATTGCAGACACCCAAAGATGCTAAGTTATAATTTGATTTAGGTATTTATGGAAAAGAATAATTACCTGCAGTTGAAGATCTGCTGATCGGGGTCCATCTGACGCATGGAAAAGGACCTCATCATCCAGGGGCGGAGTGGAAAGGCATCGTCTCCGATGATGAAGTATGGCACACCATACGGGGAATACAAGGTCATCGCCCTCCATCCGATCTCGTGAATGGTTGAACACCATCAGCGTATGATGCTGATCCCTTGGCCCCGACGTTGACCCACGGGAACTTGTAGTCGGCATCCGCGAGTGCCAGCAAGACAATAGAAAAGAAGTTCTTGTAGTGGTAGAAGAGGGACCCGCTTTTGGGGGGGCTTCTTGATGCGTATGTGCTTGCCATCAAACGCACCGGTGCAATATGGAAATTGCCACCTTTCCTTGAAAGCACGGGCTACGGTATTCCATCTACTCTGATCCCACTCATCTGACCAATACTCAGCTTTGAAGGCTTCAATGATAGGATTGATGTGCTTACGGCTGAGGCTTTGGCTTTGGAGGAGGGTTGGCATTCTTCAGGTCATCCACCAGTTCAAGCAGGTGCCAGGCTATCTGCACCCAAATGGTAAGCAGTCTTCACTTCTCGGGGCTCACCAGGTATACGTCAAGGTTCCTGATGGTGATGTTACTACTTTGCAGTCCTCTAATTGAATGGGTACCTGGTGACAATGCACCCTGTAATTTATACAGTTTGGAAACCAAGGGTCTACTCGGCCGAAAAACGGAATTTCCTTCGAGAACCAGTCGCTCCCGTTGAACACAGGTCGCGGTGAAGTCGGGCCGGTCTACTTAGGACGAAATTAATTCGAAATTAGGTCGATATACGGGTCTAGCTGGTCGAGTATAGGTCTTCTCAACTTAGCCGACCTAAGTCGAGAAAGGTCGACTGAAGTCGAACTAAAATCGAACTAAGGTCGTAAAGGTCCTTGCGAGGTCGTTATGAGGTCGTTTTTGGGTCGTTTTGAGGTTGAGATAACCCCCAGGTCGAGAATGGTCGAGCTCCCGAGGTCGCCACTGGGACCGCACCATTAAGTAAACGGTCTGAAAGCATCCAAGGGCAATATTCTTCATGTACTGAATAGAAGATTAAACCGTTTTGAGTTCACATGTCTGCAAGTAGTGTCATTACTGATACAACGGATTTCTGATCGGGTTGTCTGTTTTTTATCTCAAGGAATAACTGTCTCAATTTTTCATCCTTAAAGGATAAATTTGATATTTAGAGAATAACCAACGAGGTACGAGTGATTACGGGAAATATGCCCGAGTTGAAATAATGTTCACAGTGCCAAGCCTTGGCCAGGCACTGATCATTATTTTAACGAGGGTATATTTCCCGTAATCACTTGTACCGAGTTAGTTATTCTATTTATTACCCATAATGCAATTTTACGGAAGCGCTGAAGGGACCTGATGGAATATAATTTATCTTGAGCGTACAAGTTAGAATATTGAGCGCACAAGTTAGTATATTGAGCGCACAAGTTAGTATATTGAGCGCACAATTAAAAAGCTGAAGGGACCTCATGAAATAAAAATTATCTTGAGCGCACAAGTTAATATCTTGAGCGCTCAAGTTAGTTATCTTGAGCGCACAAGTTAGTATCTTGAGCGCACAAGTTAATATCTTGAGCGCTCAAGTTAATATCTTGAGCACACAAGTTACTTATCTTGAGCGCTCAAGTTAATATCTTGAGCACACAAGTTACTTATCTTGAGCGCACAAGTTAGTTATCTTGAGCGCACAAGTTAGTATCTTGAGCGCACAAGTTAATATCTTGAGCGCTCAAGTTAATATCTTGAGCGCACAAGTTAATATCTTGAGCGCACAAGTTAGTATCTTGAGCGCACAAGTTAGTATCTTGAGCGCACAAGTTAGTATCTTGTGCGCACAAGTTAATATCTTGAGCGCTCAACTTCGTGTTTAGCATCTAATGGCATTAATGGAACGCACATTTGTTTGACTGCTGGCTAAAATGTACAAACTTATATCCTTTTGGAAGATTTCAAACGATGCAAAGTCGGAGTTAACTATAGGTGTTTATGATGAGACTATGTAAAAGTATGCAATTGTATCATGAACATTGATAATGTTTATCATGTAAACGTTCATCGTCTTTATGCTTGTCAATACTATTCTTTGTATCTGATTTTACCACTTTTTGCTTTATTACATAAAGCAGGCCTAGGTTTGTGTAATGTCATAATAAGAATTAAAACATAAACATGAGTAGGAGTTTATTGCAGGGATGAATAGTGGTTTTACTTACTTCTTATATTGGTACATAGTATTATGAACACTAGCGTAAAGCTTGGATAACTTGTTTTTTGCTACGGCTTTATTATGTATATATAGTATTACATGACCATGAAAAATGTAAACATGGAGTGTTATACTTAATTATGTTAATTATAAAACTAATGTCTGATGTATTGGAAGTAAAGTCGACCACTTTCAGGGAACTATAGTCTGTAGTCTTGGTTTGCATGTATCAGTAATGTTTCCTAACGTGAGTACAATGGCAGTTTAACTCTGTACAATATCATATAAAACCCGCCTGATTTATTTGATCCATTAGTATGTGCACGTATAGCATATATACCGACTTTATTTCTTACTAAAATACCGTGTTCCCCGTTTCACTTCTTCCGTATCAATCCCTTATGTATACGTATGTGTGTTGTAGTTTATTTAACATGTTTTAACAACACAGGAAGTTGAAGAATAAATACGTCGATGAAGACAGTGTCCTGGGCGAAATTGAACACCATTCGGGTCCAACAACGACCGTACAGTATCCTGTTTCACGATTAAACCGCATAGGGTACATTTTGATGCATCAACGATAACCATGTCTTTGTTCAGATCGTCGAAGTTGTCCGCAATAAAGTATGTAACATAAGCGGGGCGGTGGGTAGCCTCGTGGTTAAAGCGTCCGATCGTCACGCCTGGGTTCGATTTCCCATATGGGTACAATGTGTGCAGTCCATTTCTCGTGTTCCCCACCGTGATATTGCTGGAATATTGCCAAAAGCGGTGTAAACCGTACTCACTCACTCACTCACTGTAACATCAGCAAATCTGGTATCTGGTGCGAAAGAGGGACATACACCTCAGAATACGCTTCGTATGGCGTACTATACTATACCATGATTTTTGACAAGAAGATGTGTTATGTGTTTGTATTGGAACCCAAGACCGAAATAAGCATGAATCAGCTCGCCTTTCCACTCCTCCTTGCTTCCACATGAACTGCTTATAAAGCAGTGTATCTCAATATACTAAGTTGAGCGCTCAACATACTAACGTGTGCGCTCAAGATACTAACTTGTGTGCTCAAGATAACTAACTTGTGAGCTCAATATATTAACTTGTGCACTCAAGATAACTAACTTGTGCGCTCAAGATATTAACTTGTGCGCTCAAGATACTAACTTGAGCGCTCAATATACTAACTTGTGCGCTCAAGATAAATTATATTTCATGAGGTCCCTTCAGCGCTTCCGTACTTGTGACCTCAAACAGTTGATTCGTATTCCTGCCCGTATTAAACTCCAGCGGTATTAACATAACTACGCTATTGTCAAATAGTACCACGTAAAATCGCTTTAAAATACAACAAAATATTTTTTTTGTGGAATAATTTTTTAACATTTGTTAATATGATAAAATTGATCTTTTAAATTAAATGCAACATCATTGAACGTAATAACAGCTAAAACGATATTTGATGAAGTCAGTGCGCCGGAACATCCTTCATTCACGACTGGCGTGTGTCTAGTGACAGGGTGACGGTGTAGTGTTGAAACACACTTTGGCAAAAACCTGTCAATTTTGGGGAAAGTCAACGGTTAATGCAACACGCACCCAATCACCTGTACATACAATCAACCTCCCACATCTCACTCACTCACTCACTCACTCAGAGGAATACAATATGCACCTCGGTATTCCCTTGCTACACAGATTCATTGTGTCTGTGTTATTCCTGTTTAACGATGTACTATGCGACACAGCGTTCCTGCTGTATGACACCGGTCTGTCAATAATCGAGTCTGGACCAGTCAGTCCAGTGACTGACATTTCCAGCATCCATCACAGCAGTCGGTATATGTTGGCAAACATCAATAAGTCAACGAAAATGACCACACTATCCCGTTAGTCGCCTCTTAGAACAGTGACAGAGTGAGTATGGTTTTACGTCGCTTTTAGCAATTCTAGTATTCCAGGAAATCACTTCGGGGCACACCAGAAATCGGCTCCACACATTGAACCCATGCCATGTGGGTAATCGAGCCTGGGTCTCCGACGTGACGAGCGAACGCTTTAACCACAAGGCTACCCCACCGCCCCTGAACAGTAATAAGAAAGGTATGACACTTCATGGATGACATCTTCTGTATTATACAGCGATGCGACGTTTCGGTATAGATTCGCGGGGACGGGGAAAAGAAGTGAGAAGGTTAATATCTTATTCATAATATGCGTGAAGCAAGAGTATAGCTTATGAATTTAGTAGTACAGTTAAGCTGTAGCTGATTAACACGGAGAAGCACCTTGCCGACACACAAACTTGACCTAGTAGTTCTCGTTATAAGTCACAGGAGGTTCTTGGAAAACCTGCGTCTTGCCTTGTCTGATAACAACGTGGCTCGCTACTACTGAGCAAAACGTTTCCAGCCGCCAGAACCAACTCGCCAGAACACAACCCTGACTTCCTTGTTGTTATCAGTCAAAGGGGGCCCTTTTCTGACAGCTAAAGTAAAATTTATTATCTTTGGTTACCAGTGGTAACACGTATTAACTGATTTCTGTTGACCTTAGTTGCTGATACCAACACGGTACAGAATACCAAGCTATCCACATAGTCTCTTCACTGTGGTAAAAGTGATGCAGAGTATTCAGCCTGGTCTCCGAACAATATGATTGTAAACTGTTAACTGCACTCACATGAGGAAGTTATTATGCCTTTCCAGGTTCAGAATTAAATTAACATTAAGCAGGTTATTGTGTGTTTGAGTATTCACTATTTTGTCATTATGTAGATTACTTTATATGATGATAACGTGCACTGAAGTATACAGGCTGAAAACGTACAGTATAGTATACATGTTGATAACGTACAGTAAAGAAAACAGGCTGATAACGTACAGTAAAGTATACAGCCCGATAACGTACACTGAGGTATACAGGCTGATAACGTAAACTGAAATATACAGGCTGATAACGTACAGTAAAGTATACAGGCTGATAACTTACAGTAAAGTATACAAGCCGATAACGTAGAGTAAAGTATACAGGCTGATAACGAACAGTAAAATATGCAGAGTGATAACGTAGTGGTAAAGTATACAGGCTGATAACGTACAGTAAAGTATACAGGTCGATAACGTGCAGTAAAGTATACAGGCTGATAACGTACTGACGTATACAACCTGATAAAGTACAGTAAAGTATACAGGTTGATAATGTACACTGAAGTATACAAGCTGATAACGTACAGTAAAGTATACAGGTTGGTAACGCACACTGAAGTATAAAAGCTGATAACGTACACTGAAGTATACAAGTTGATAACGTACAGTAAAGAATACAGGCTGATAACGTACAGTAAAGTATACAGGCTGATAACGAGCAGTAAAATATGCAGGGTGATAACGTACACTGATGTATGCAACCTGATAACGTACAGTAAAGTATACAGGCTGATAAAGTACAGTAAAGTATACAGGTTGATAACGTACACTGAAGTATACAAGCTGAAAACGTACAGTAAAGTATACAGGCTGATAACGAACAGTAAAATATGCATGGTGATAACGTAGTGGTTAAGTATACAGGCTGATAACGTACACTGAAGTATACAGGCCGATAACGTACAGTAAAGTATACAGGCTGATAACGTACACTGACGTATACAGGGTGATAACGTACAATAAAATATACATGCTGATATCGTACAGTAAAGTTTACAGGCTGATAACGTACAGTAAAGTATACAGGCTGATAACGTGCAGTAAAGTATACAGGCTGACAACGTACACTGATGTATACAACCTGATAACGTACAGTAAAGTATACAGGCTCATAAAGTACAGTAAAGTATACAGGTTGATAACGTACACTGAAGTATACAAGCTGATAACGTACAGTAAAGTATACAGGCTGATAACGAACAGTAAAATATGCATGGTGATAACGTAGTGGTAAAGTATACAGGCTGATAACGTACACTGAAGTATACAGGTCGATAACGTGCAGTAAAGTATACAGGCTGATAACGTACACTGAGGTATACAACCTGATAAAGTACAGTAAAGTATACAGGTTGATAAAGTACAGTAAAGTATACAGGCTGATAACGTACAGTAAAGTATACAGGTCGATAACGTGCAGTAAAGTATACAGGCTGATAACGTACACTGACGTATACAACCTGATAAAGTACAGTAAAGTATACAGGTTGATAACGAACAGTAAAATATGCAGGTTGATAACGTAGTGGTAAAGTATACAGTCTGATAACGTACACTGAAGTATACAGGGTGATAACGTGCAATAAAATATACATGCTGATATCGTACAGTAAAGTATACAGGCTTATAACGTACACTGACGTATACAGGGTGATAATGTACAGTAAAGTATACAGGTTGATAAAGTACAGTAAAGTATACAGGTTGATAACGTACACTGAAGTATACAAGCTGATAACGTACAGTAAAGTATACAGGTTGGTAACGTACACTGACGTATACAACCTGATAACGTACAGTAAAGTATACAGGTTGATAAAGTACAGTAAAGTATACAGCCTGATAACGTACACTGAAGTATACAAGCTGATAACGTACAGTAAAGTATACAGGTTGATAACGTACACTGAAGTATAAAAGCTGATAACGTACACTGAAGTATACAAGCTGATAACGTACAGTAAAGTATACAGGCTGATAACGTAGAGTAAAGTATACAGGTTGATAATGTACATTAAAGTATATAGGTTAATAACGTACACTGAAGTACACAGGCTCATAGCGTACACTGAAGTACACAAGCTGATAACGTACAGTAAAGTATACAGGCTGGTAACGTACACTGACGTATACAGGCTGATAACATACAGTTAAGTATACAGGTTGATGAAGTACAGTACAATATACAGGCTGATGACGTACAATAAAGTATACAGGCTGATATCGTAGAGTAAAGTATACAGGCTGATAATGTACATTAAAGTATACAGGCTGATAACGTACACTGAAGTATACAGGCTGATAACGTACAGTAAAGTATGCAGGTTGATAACGTACACTGACGTATACAGGCTGATAACATACAGTAAAGTATACAGGTTGATAAAGTACAGTACAATATACAGGCTGATAACGTACAGTAAAGTATGTGTGCTGATAACGTACAGTAAAGTATGTGTGCTGATAACGTACAGTAAAGTATACAGGCTGATAAAGTACAGTAAAGTATAGAGGCTTATAACGTACACTGAAGTATATAGTCTGATAACGTACTCTGAAGTATAGGGGCTGATAACGCACAGTATAGTATACAGGTTGATAACGTACACTGAAGTAAACAAGCTGATAACGTACAGTAAAGTATACAGGCTGATAACGTACACTGAAGAATACAAGCTGATAACGTACACTCAAGTATACAAGCTGATAGCGTACAGTAAAGTATGCAGGCTGATAACGTGGAGTAAAGTATACAGACTGACAACGTACAGTAAATTATAGAGGCTGATAATGTACACTGAAGTATACAGGCTGATATCGTACACTAAAGTATACAGTATAGAACAAACTTTATGGATAACAACTTCTTTTTATTCGTGAGTGCGACGTTTCGATACAGATTCTTGTACCGTTGTCAAGCATGTACAAGAATCTGTATCGAAACGTCGCACTCACGAATAAAAAGTTGTTATCCATAAAGTTTGTTCTATATTGTACTTCCCAACTTCTAAAATGCCACTCAAAGAAGTTAAAGTATACAGGCTGATAACGTACAGTTAAGTATACAGGCTGATAACGTACACTGAAATATACAGGCTGATAACGTACAGTAACGTATACTGGCATGACACTCTCGTACTTCATGATACTTGACATCCCTGGCATTGAAATGACACAAGTGAGCAGTGCTTGATTCACAAACATACTGGCATATATGTATGTGTGTGTGTGTGTGTGTGTGTGTGTGTGTGTGTGTGTGTGTGTGTAATGTATATATATATAATATATAATCGTATAATCGTGCAATCTGCATTGAATGTAATATGGTGTCTGTGATGAGTCAATCGACAGTGTCAGGTTCGTGCAACTGAATTACTTGCCTGTACGTCAAGATAGATAAAGAACTCCTGAGAGAACGTTATCAGCTTCGTTTCACTGTTTGTTCCTGTAGCAATAGGTTAAGATCTTGATAGTGTTCTGACACTCGTTCTTTATCTATTACTTCGCAGGTTATGTGGCATTGCCAGGCTACAGTGTGTACATATCTTATTATCTTATCAGCTCACTCACAAATAGCAGGTTATTATGACATAACTTTGTGTCGTACCACATCAGGCTGTGCATTTATGTTGATTGGCGTCGTACAACCATATAATCTGTGATGCTATAATTCCGTTAATCGTAGGTTTGAATCCAATATTATGATACTCAGTTTGTCACCAGTATAGACAAGCCTATGGGTTTCACAAAACTATGTAAGACCTGGCTGTCCTTCCTTCCACACTGACCTAGCATACTGTGATATAAGTGAACATGAATAACAACGCAGCATTATATCCACTCCCTTCATTCCTCTCACAACCACCATGACTATATTGCTGATATCAATGTGCGAACCTTTCTCGGTTGTGAATGTATGCTGGCCATAATACGATAGTGACTACCATTGTATACGGGAGATAGTAGATGGGATGACGATATCAGATGTTAAGAACACCTTGCCACGTCAACGTCAGTGTGTCAAGCATGGAGACTGCAAAAAATAAGGCTGTCGGTGTTGGCAATGTCAGATATACACACATGAAGACTGCAAAACACAAGCACAGTTTATCGGTATTGTCAAAATAAGTGTTTTATTCAGGACTATATAGGTGTTGTCATAGTTATTGCTTCACACAGGAAGACTGGACAAAACAGGCTTTAGGCTATAGGTGCTGTTAAAGTACATTGTAAGTGTTTCAGACAAGAATACTGGACAAAACAGGCTTTAGGCTATAGGTGTTGTCATAGTAAGTGTTTCACGCAAGAAGAGACACAACAAGCTTTAGGCTATAGATGTTGCCAAGGTAATTGTTTCACACAGGAAGAACAGACCCAACAAGCTTTAGGCTATAGATGTTGCCAAGGTAAGTGTTTCACACAGGAAGAACAGATCCAACAAGCTTTAGGCTATAGATGTTGCCGAGGTAAGTGTTTCACACAGGAAGAACAGACAGAACAAGCTTTAGGCTATAGATGTTGTCATAGTAAGTGTTTCACACAGGAAGAACAGATCCAACAAGCTTTAGGCTATAGATGTTGCCGAGGTAAGTGTTTCACACAGGAAGAACAGACAGAACAAGCTTTAGGCTATAGATGTTGCCAAGGTAAGTGTTTCAGACAGGAAGAACAGACACAGCAAGCTTTAGGCTATAGGTGTTGTTATAGTAAGTGTTTCAGACAGGAAGAACAGACACAACAAGCTTTAGGCTATAGGTGTTGTCATACAGGAAGAACAGACACAAGAAGCTTTAGGCTATAGGTGTTGTCATGCAGGAAGAAGAGACACAAAAAGCTTTAGGCTATGGATGTTGTCATACAGGAAGAACAGACACAAGAAGCTTTAGGCTATAGGTGTTGTCAAAGTAAGTGTTTCAGACAGGAAGAACAAACACAACAAGCTTTAGGCTATAGGTGTTGTCATACAGGAAGAACAGACACAAGAAGCTTTAGGCTATAGGTGTTGTCAAAGTAAGTGTATCAGACAGGAAGAACAGACACAACAAGCTTTAGGCTATGGATGTTGTCATACAGGAAGAACAGATCCAACAAGCTTTAGGCTATAAGTGTTGTCAAAGTAAGTGTATCAGACAGGAAGAACAAACACAGCAAGCTTTAGGCTATAGGTGTTGTCATACAGGAAGAACAGACCCAACAAGCTTTAGGCTATAAGTGTTGTCAAAGTAAGTGTTTCAGACAGGAAGAACAGACACAAGAAGCTTTAGGCTATAGGTGTTGTCAAACTAAGTGTTTCAGACAGGAAGAACAGACCCAACAAGCTTTAGGCTATAGGTGTTGTCAAAGTAAGTGTTTCAGACAGGAAGAACAGACACAACAAGCTTTAGGCTATAGGTGTTGTCAAAGTAGGTGTTTCAGACAGGAAGAACAGACACAACAAGCTTTAGGCTATAGGTGTTGTCACAGTAAGTGTTTCAGACAGGAAGAACAGACACAACAAGCTTTAGGCTATAGGTGTTGTCAAAGTAGGTGTTTCACACAAGAAGAACAGACCCAACAAGCTTTAGGCTATAGGTGTTGTCAAAGTGAGTGTTTCAGACAGGAAGAACAGACACAACAAGCTTTAGGCTATAGGTGTTGTCAAAGTAAGTGTTTCAGACAGGAAGAACAGACCCAAAAAGCTTTAGGTTATAGGTGTTGTCAAAGTAAGTGTTTCAGACAGGAAGAACAGACACAACAAGCTTTAGGCTATGGGTGTTGTCAAAGTAAGTGTTTCAGACAGGAAGAACAGACACAACAAGCTTTAGGCTATAGGTGTTGTCACAGTAAGTGTTTCAGACAGGAAGAACAGACACAGCAAGCTTTAGGCTATAGGTGTTGTCAAAGTAAGTGTTTCACACAGGAAGAACAGACACAACAAGCTTTAGGCTATAGGTGTTGTCAAAGTAAGTGTTTCACACAGGAAGAACAGACCCAACAAGCTTTAGGCTATAGGTGTTGTCATAGTAAGTGTTTCACATAGGAAAACTGCACTAAACCCAATCATTGGGCTCACGGTAGGGTCAAAGTCAGAGTCTCAGACATGGAGAAAGCAAAACACAAGCATTAAAAGTCGGTTTCTCGCATGGTGAACGCAAAACTTAAGCATAAGGCTCTCGGCGTTGTCAACGTCAGTATTTCGCACATGAAGACTTGATACACTAGCAAACTGCATTTCATATTGATTACGCTGACCTACTCCCTTATACAACTGATAACAACTGCAAACTGTAAAGCATGTCTGGCTGCACGGAGGCGGTATATTTCCCAGAAATGTAATGCGCTGTCACGTGGCATGTATTAAGAGTTCACCTTCAAACAGGATATTTCATTCTGGCTGGACTCAGAGGACCTGAAGACATTACCGACAAACACCGTCTCCCATTCTTGCTGGACACAGAGGACCAGAAGGCCTTACCGACAAACACCGTCTCCCATTCTGGCTGGACACAGAGGACCAGAAGGCCTGATCTCCCATTCTTGAGAAATCAACTAGCCTGAAGAACGATTCAACTGAGTGAACCTGCCGCACACGACAAACATAGATCAGGTGGGACTCGGTTGACTATTTATTTTCTCATTTATTTTTGTTAATTGGTTAAGCTAGAGTTAAGTAATTTGCTTAGGACTGTTCCCTCTGTGTAATGATGCGCCATGAACTATACGTTGTTGTACATACAGCTTACATGTGGAGTTCACTGCTGTGAAGCATGCTGACTGTGTGGTGGTGTCCTCTTGTGCCATATCCCAAGCTCCAGGGCAGGGCGATACAGATATGTGCGTCCTGTACAAACGTAATGAATAGGCACGGAAAAGATATGCAGACCACGAACCTACTAACTGGAAAGAGTCTGACAAACACTCCCTGGGGAGCATCTCCAGAAGCAAACCCTGGATTTCTTACATGTGCAGTTTGCGCATGTGCCACAAGTCAGTATTTCGTGGTTCAATCGTTTTTCTGTCTCTATGGTAAGAAAAGATTATCAGATGACCAGTGATGACATAGTGTGGTGTACATAACTCCGGTATGTCCTTTAAAGCAATTGGTTGGGAGACCGGTGACAAACAACGTACACTTGGTTCGGTCTAGTAAAGTCATATTTGGAGGTGGCGCAATTTGGAACCAGAACTGGTTCTTGAATATACGCTTGTCACCGGAAATCTTTTACCGGAAGTAAGCTAGGACCCGTCTCGCGTATCGCCGGGAACCAGCTTAGTACCGGAAGTAGCGCCTCGCGAGACTTGCCGAGCCTATATCCATTAATATAATGTTGAAGGAAACTGTCTGCGGTTATTTGTGTTTTCTTGTTGTCAAGACATAATTTTACAGAAAACATGCAGTTTTACCAACGTAATTTGCACACCACTGATGTTAGCTGAAATGTACAACTTTGTGAAAGGATTTTCTTTAGTTGTATATGTTGTGTTCCGTGCAAACAAATATCTGATATAAATGGAGGATATTATATATGTGCCCATGTCATACTATGTTTACGACACGAGTGCCTAAATGTTGATATTTCTCGAGCGATATACCGATATTTAGGCACGGGGGTCGTAAACATAATATTGTATGGACACAAATATAATGTTCTATCTGTTACCAAAGTTGTCAAATTGAGGAAAATGAATAGAGATTATTACACGAGCAGGTGTGTCATATGATTTATACGAAACGAGCGTGAAAGTTCCTGATTTGCACGAGTTTCGTATAAGTCATATGGCATACTTGCTCGAGTGTAATAACTTCTTTATTATCTAATTTATTGATGTACATTTGTGCAGTAAAACACTGTAGGCAAGTGTGACAGCCCTCTTCATTGGCCTCACGTTAAGTTGTTTGATGACGTCATATACGTCGAAATACAGAAACAGTGGTTGCTAGGCAAAGGTGATATGTGCACATATGATATATATGACACTGGTTATGTTTCACCATATGGGTAATATAAATAGTTATTAAATCTCAGTGTGCAGTACACTACGCTAAATCATTACTCCTATAGGTATCCTTGAAATTAGTTATTAGTGCTCCTCTGGACTCCTAGTATTGTAGGGCATGTTTGACCTCTTCAAGAACTAAGCCATGGATGTATTCACAGACAGAACACAATTACTCTGCCCATGTGTCTTACACACCCGTGAGTGAGAAACCCATGTGAGAAAACTGGTATCACACATATGTGTGAGATCGATTTCTAATCCCGTGATTTGCTACTCCATGGTGATGACCCAGGGTCAGATTATGGCGGACTACTTCCCTTACTACAATTCATTGGTAAGTTACTCGTGCTTCAGTCGAACGGAAACCTGTTACTCGTGACAAACACCTTAACACCTACCTGTTATTTTCTCTATTGCAACATAAACAGGTATTTATACAATAAAACACAATAAGAATAAGAATAAATATAACACGAATGTTTGTTTTTTAATTCGTTTATTAAAACTTTTGATTCTAGTTATGGCTTCAAAGTGGCTTGAACATGCAGTCAGTGATACCCGCGTAAACAACTATGTGGCCGTTAGAGATACAGGCTGCGATTCCCTTCGAATATTCCAAATGTACAACATTGGTAATTTTACTGGAGAGATGCAACAAGTGTCATGCATTGTCTTACAAAAATATCCGACAGGATGACTTGAGTCCATTGTGAGATCGATTTGCCCCGTGGTTTCTCTGATGACGAAGATGACATGTTTCACTGAAACACACGATGATTCTTTCAATAAAGATCCACTTCCAGCTCCTATGTGATTCATGACAATGAGAACCAAAATCTCGTTGAAACAGTGTACAACATAAAGCGTTTGCAAGGGTTCATGAGTGCAAGTTGCGACACACGTCCTTTCGATTCCATCGAACATGCACAGTGAACGGTTGATCAATGTTCAACATAAGTCATTGCTTAGATATTCCTCCGACGCATGATAATGCAAAGTTCATGGCTTAATAACATTATATGATGTTATCAACTCACATTTCATACTGACAACTCCGTAAATTCTGTAATATTCCAAGTGGCAGTTTGTGGCTCGGGATAACGGGAAGGCTGTGGCGAAGAAGGGTAGTCCCCCATTCATAGTGAACGTAACCTCAGCAATGTCAGGCTACAAGTAATTACACACACTCAATAATTTTGGCTCCAGTCGATAGGAGAACATTGAACGTAAACTGGTACACAAGTACAAGTCCCCAATGTGCAGAGATATCCAAACTATCTTCCGATGACGATAATGATGACGTCACACGTTCAAATATTTTATGCTCGCAAGAATTAAAATCATCTACATTTACATTGTAACATTATCGTTACAGAGTGTTTAATCAATTTTCTGTGATGTTATTTAGTTTGCATTGCCATTATCGCCTTGATGACGACAAGATGTGGCAGAAACCTCTTCTGTGGAGGGTCACCTTGGGAATGAGTAGTGATTAGGAAGCCAAGTGACGTCACTCATTCATAAACGTTGCATTGTGTATTATTGCGCAACTACGATGAGAAAATATGAAAATTAAATCTATTCGACCATAAAATGGTGCGATTGTATGGTGTGATAGAAACAGATTACTGTACTCGTGTCTGTCAGATACCATTTATCTTACAACTCGTTGTTTCAAAACGTATTTAACTCGCTTTCGCTCGTTAAATACGTTCGTAAGATAAATGGTATCTGACAGACACTCGTTAAGTAATCTCTATAGATACAAGGAATTGTAATGGGAGGGGTAATTGTCACCGATCGTCTCTTTTTGGGGATGTGAGCGTTTGGCAAGCTGAGTTCGAACTCAAAAATTCCAAGGCACCAATTTGTTTTGAATGAACTCGATTTCTGGTAACTGATTTGAGTGAACGCGGACTATATTGTGCCTGTATATAAAGAATGTAGAAATGGTTCCCTCATTGCAAAATGCCAAAAGCACAAGTTAACATTCAGTTCTTTCCACATTCAAGGGGAGGTAGACACCTTATCTATCTAGGTCACACGTTTAGGGGTATGACCACGAAAAGGGACCGAGTTCATTGGAAATGTTGTAAGACAGGTTGTATCGAGCCATTGATGATCGTATTGCAGTGTTGAAGGTGAATCTCTTGAATTGGGCGTACACCTATGAGGCAATTGGGGATCTTGTCTCAGACCTGGTTAATGTCCCTGTGTTGGAATAATTTATGTATATTCATGTATATTTATTAAAATATAATGTATGTATATTTATTTATGTCCTCAGTTACCAAGTGTCTATTTATGAATTTTATCATGAAGAGAAAATATATCATATTGCTGAGATACAAAAAGTCGAGATGAAGTTATAGTTTGTACTTTGTTAGTCTCATTAAGACCATAAGTTAATCCCCTATTGTGTAAGGGATTAACGCACATCAGTGAAGTTTTGTCGACTGTTTATTTTGAAAAAAGCGTCCGGCAAACACAATGTACCCATGTAGGGAATTGAACCCGAGCCTCAATTGTGCTGAGCAAAGTTTGCTGGTTTATCGCAAATATAAATTAAATATTATTGCTTATATATATTTTATCCTTCCCAACAGGAGCTTAGCCCGCCACAATTTGTACATGGGAGGACCTTTGCCCACAACATAAAGTTTTGTCAACCTTAATACTCACCTAACTAATCACACTGCTTAGGGTATATTGTTTTATACCAGATCAAACATTTATACTTACCTTTTTTCTCGCCCACTTTAAAACCCTGTACAGGTTATGTTGTGTTACAAGAGATCAAATATTAATATTTACCTTTCTTCTCGCCCACTTTAAAACCCTGCCCAGGTTATGTTGTGTTACAAGAGATCAAACATTTATACTTACCTTTCTTCTCACCCACCGTAATACCCTGCCCAGGTTATGTTGTGTTACAAGAGATCAAACATTAATACTTACATTTCTTCTCACCCACCTTAATACCCTGCCCAGGTTATGTTGTGTTACAAAAGATCAAATATTAATACTTACATTTCTTCTCACCCACCGTAATACCCTGCCCAGGTTATGTTGTGTTACAAGAGATCAAACATTAATACTTACCTTTCTTCTCACCCACCTTAATACCCTGCCCAGGTTATGTTGTCTTACAAGAGATCAAACATTAATGCTTACCTTTCTTCTCGCCCACCGTAATACCCTGCCCAGGTTATGTTGTGTTACAAGAGATCAAACATTAATACTTACATTTCTTCTCACCCACCGTAATACCCTGCTCAGGTTATGTTGTGTTACAAGAGATCAAACATTAATACTTATCTCTCTTCTCGCCCACCGTAAAACCCTGCCCAGGTTATGTTGTGTTACAAGAGATCAAACATTTATACTTACCTTTCTTCTCACCCACCGTAATACCCTGCCCAGGTTATGTTGTCTTACAAGAGATCAAACATTAATGCTTACCTTTCTTCTCGCCCACCGTAATACCCTGCCCAGGTTATGTTGTGTTACAAGAGATCAAACATTAATACTTACATTTCTTCTCGCCCACCGTAATACCCTGCTCAGGTTATGTTGTGTTACAAGAGATCAAACATTAATACTTATCTTTCTTCTCGCCCACCGTAATACCCTGCCCAGGTTATGTTGTGTTACAAGAGATCAAACATTAATACTTACATTTCTTCTCACCCATCTTAATACCCTGCCCAGGTTATGTTGTGTTACAAGAGATCAAATATTAATACTTACCTTTCTTCTCACCCACCGTAATACCCTGCCCAGGTTATGTTGTGTTACAAGAGATCAAACATTAATACTTACCTTTCTTCTCACCCACCTTAATACCCTGCCCAGGTTATGTTGTCTAACAAGAGATCAAACATTAATGCTTACCTTTCTTCTCGCCCACCGTAATACCCTGCCCAGGTTATGTTGTGTTACAAGAGATCAAACATTAATACTTAAATTTCTTCTCGCCCACCGTAATACCCTGCTCAGGTTATGTTGTGTTACAAGAGATCAAACATTAATGCATATCTTTCTTCTCGCCCACCGTAATACCCTGCCCAGGTTATGTTGTGTTACAAGAGATCAAACATTAATACTCACTTTTCTTCTCGCCCACCGTAATACCCTGCTCAGGTTATGTTGTGTTACAAGAGATCAAACATTAATACTTATCTTTCTTCTCGCCCACCGTAATACCCTGCCCAGGTTATGTTGTGTTACAAGAGATCAAACATAAATACTTACCTTACTTCTCGACCACCGTAATACCCTGCCCAGGTTATGTTGTGTTACAAGAAATCAAACATTAATACTTACCTTTCTTCTCGCCCACCTTAATACCCTGCCCAGGTTATATTGTGTTACAAGAGATCAAATACTAATGCTTACCTTTCTTCTCACCCACCGTAATACCCTGCCCAGGTTATGTTGTGTTAAAAGAGATCAAACATAAATACTTACCTTTCTTCTCACCCACCGTAATACCCTGCTCAGGTTATGTTGTGTTAAAAGAGATCAAACATGAATTGCATCTCACCCAAGCTTCTCGGCTGCTTTGTATTTCTTTTTCTAATTACAGTTAATACTTACCTGATTGCTGGTGCCACTATGAGACTGAACTAAATTGGTTAGGTGTATTAGAATATGCTAACAGTGTTAAAGTGCTATTCAAGTTGTACTCTATCAATGTGCTATATTGTATGCTGTTTCTGTGTAGTTCAATAAACCCTATTCATTTTTCACTCTACCAATGTGCTATAACATATGTGTAGTTCGGTGAGACTTCAGCCCGTATCCCCCCTAAATTTTAACGATGAGAAACAAATTCTTTGAGTAGCAATTTTAGAAGTTAGATATGTCTTTCAGTATGTTCAGATACATTTAAAGAAACATTTTAAAATTCATCCTTATCAGATGAGGAATATATTCAGGTGATATGATTTGACTAGAATGACATTTAAGGGGGGGGGGGGGATACGGGCGAACGTCTTTCCCGTAGTTCAATAAAATAATGCATAAGTAGATTATATAATGTTGTATTATTATGGTGGGCAATGTCTTTTCCCCTGTCAAAATTATTGTGGGCAAAGTTCTTCCCCTGTCAAAATTGTGGTGGGCAAAGTTCTTCCCCTGTCAAAATTGGACAAAGTTCACAGTACAACAACACATTCAACCAGCTTGTGTATGTTATCATCCAATCCCAAGGATTGAGCAGACGTTAACACTGCTCACTCCCTGGAATTAGATCGCCAATCAGCGAGATTAAGCAAGCCACCGGCCATTAACGGGGATTGGGCAACACTCTTACCCGAGCCCTGGAAATGAGCAATTCCGGGAGTTGGGCACGTCATGTATACTACAACCAAAAACGTATGGGAACACCCTAAAATTTGATAGTCAAATGTAAACTTAAACATGGTGAGGTCATTTATACTGTAAGAAAACGCAACTTTTTTGTGCTTAAGGGGCACTTTAAACGACACGTTAGAACATGCAGTGAAGCAACAGATTCAATATTCGTTGAGTTTGAGTGCAATGAAAAATTGTCAAAAACAGCGAAGATCAAGGGTGCTGAAACACATCAGCACCATGTTGTATTCAAACACCCAAACACAACAGCTTAGTGCATGTGGAAGACAGACTTTCCATGGAGCCTGTGGCAACGTTTCAATCCAACATGGTGCTGGTGTGTTTGATTTCACTCAAACTCAACGAATATTGAATCGGTTGCTTCACTGCATGTTCCACATATATGTGTTACTGACGACATGTGATTTTCCTGTTACAGACATACAAACCACCTGACATAACAGAATGGACCTTTCCCACGTTGCTGTCCTTCAGAAGAACCACACATTTCTGAAGGAGAACCTTCAGGTCGACCCTGTGCTGGACGCCTTGTATGAGAAATGTATCTTCACACAGGCAGACTATCATAGGTGTAGACAAGCTGGGTCAGAGAAATGTGAGCTGGTGTTGGAGACGCTTAAAAAGAAGGGAGTAGAAGGTTACAAGACGCTCTGTGCTGTCCTCGACACTACACAGCCTTTCATCAAGGAGAGACTCGATAAGACCTCAAATGAAAAAGGTAGGCAATCCTTCTAAGGGTTTCTTGATGTACATACAAATATTTGCTAATCATTTAAGCATCATAGACAAGGAATTGCTAGCTCATCAAGTGAAGTAAGGCATGGAATTTGATAACTACATATATATACTTAACACTTGTGCATTAATATGGTTGTGAAATTAATGTAGTTTACTTCATTACATAAGGCCTATTTCTGCTAAATGCTACCATCCATATGTGATTATCCAGAGTTATCACAATAATTTCAGTCACGTTCTTTCCCTCCTCTTCATGTCGGTTCAATAGCAACAGACAAAATACGTGTCATGTGATATGCATAAAATGGATACCTTAGGTCTGTCAGTCTGCAAATTAAGACCTGTTGTTATGACCCCTGCCCTGTCCTAAATACACGCGGATTGGTGACAATGGCGTCTTCATTATTGACTGCTTCTTCTATACATTTGAGCATTTGGGCATCAACGTGTCATCCACAAGCATTTCCCTTCGTGTTTTGTCGCGCCGCCTGCTTTCTATATAAATACTTGTGAAATCCTGCATGCAACAACCCGTTTGTGACCTGCGATCCACCAACGATTACCTCTTCACTGTTGATCAGTGTGTTTCCTGGGACAGGCGGTTGCTCATTAATTGGCGTTGCTGACCTGCTTGGAGAGGCGGTTCACTACGTATGACTATAATGCATACCAACCGTTCCTTTTGTCTTCCTGCATTGTTGGGGCTGTGGGATAGCCTAGTGGTTAAAACTTTCGCTCGTCACGCCGAAGACCCGGGTTCGATTCACCACATGGGTACAATGTGTGAAGCCCATTTCTGATGTCCCCCTACGTGATATTGATGGAATATTGCTAAAAGCGGCGTAAAACCCAACTCACTCATTCACTCACTCCTGCAATCGTCAAAGGATGAGATAAAGCACATCAACGGTCTTGAAAATGCTGGCTGTATCTGGGTTTTTTAGCGATGCTTCACTTTATGTACACAAAGAATACAAATGTCAAAGATCTTCTGTCAAGGCGACAACAGTCCACCCCAACAGAATGACAATGCCAGTCGGGTTTCCTGCCCTGGGCCACAAGTGCACCCGCCCAACATCCTCAATGGCTGCATCAAGCAGTATTTCATAATCGCTGGCTGAAGCTACCAGAAGAGGTCATAATGTCAGCATCATGTGCAGCCACTACACACTGGGATGACTGATTGAAATGCCATGTCACAGACAGAATCAGACACTGTTTCTGTATTTCAGGCTGTCTGTTTCACTCCATCGAGCGCTTGTTCCTTATCAGCATGACCCCGTACAGCGTAACTCTCTGACGTAAACAACGTCCTGAAATGTTCCAAACATACCCAGTAAGATTCTGGTCTTGACTTTGTGTTGGCCATGGTAGAGATGTCATTGACTCCAGACGTAGGCAACCCATCACTGCACTTCTCTGGATCCTAGTGCTCTCATGTAAACCGGCCTTGTGAGCACAGGATATTCTATTTTACAGGTAGCCCAGGTCTCGTCTATGTTAACAAGGACAAACTGGCAGCTCAGTACAAAAAGGAACTTGCTAAAAAAGATGGAGAGATAACTGACTTGAAAGATGTAAGTTGTCATGATACATTGCAATTTGGCATTCTTATAAGGCTTAAATGTCATTTGTCTTGCGAATAATTGATAAGATTATGACTGGACACACGTTTAGTGTTTCCCAACGGTAGTAAACCTAAATTTTACCATGACTTCAGTAAACACTGGATTGTGATTGGTTAATTAAAGTCATTCAGAGGTATATAATCACGTTATACAGGTCTCTGTTTTCCGTGCGCAATCATACATAGTTTACGGTAATGCACTATTTTTGTCAGCCCACTAACATGGCTGACACCAAACAACCTACCGATGCATCGATAAACTACGGCGAGTTTACTGTCGGAAATTACACATATGTCTTTAAAGATGGATTTAGCGATGACGGGCTCGACTCACTACTTGCGTAAATCACAGCAATAGGTGTTTATACATACAAATGTACTTCGAAAGCATGGAAACAAATATTCAGTCGAACAAGATCAAAACATCGTCTACTTTCCGAATAAAATTTCAGCAAAAACAAATATGTTTGCGTTGATTCTATGTTATGTCAGAATAGATCCAGCAATAGACTGCTACATAATTTCCGTGTTAAATTTATTATCAGCTTTCGTCAACGATATCGCCACTGATCTTGATCCGGTAACGGAGGATGCATTAATATCGAACGCCGAAGAAATTTTAATGCCTTCCGTCCACATAAATAAACAGTTGGGTTATCAATTCAAACAAAATGATATTTTGAAATTTGTACTGTTTCAAATTTAGCGGTAGTAAAACACAATTACAGAATCTGCAAACCGTTCTGTTTAGCCCAACATATTTTTTTTCTAAATGTATAATATCGTTGAAAAAGTTATTTAGCTTAGTCATGATCCCTCTTATCCATTACACTGCTTGATCTAAAGTAGTCTATTAAAGTATGCCTTACCGTGTTTATGCCAGAGGTACACCCTCGTGTCCTGATCCATCCTTTCGGAAATATCACCACAAATCTGGCTCTTTGTCAACAGACTCGCGAACGTGCCAGCGAATCCAATTCAATTTGAATTCACTACACTTTGAAGCCACTAGGTCACAAAAAAAATTCCCAAATGTAGAAAATAATATCCGTAGAATCGAATTTGAGCACAAAGTACACAAATGAGTGTGTAAGAGTCACCACAGCTGTCGCACGCAGACGTAGAGGTGCGTGAAATCGTCAAGTTGACAGGGCGCAAAATTCAACAGTATCTAAAATCGGTACAACACGGACTTCTCGTTACAGCAAAAGCGCCCCTACTCTTAAATTGTGTACCAGTACCAGTAATTAGAAATTAAAAAGACTATCTCAGTCATACAATCAGGTTAACCTTGCGCAAACTGTCAGAGGCTCGCCTGTCGCATCTTTCCAAATTTCAACGTAAATGTAAACAATGACTTCGAGAAAAGGTCAAGGCCATGAGGTTGCTGCCACTATTCTGGTGGGGAAAGGGTCTACGGTGGAATTTTCAAGTGTGGACCAAGCTTTTAAAACTTATTTGATATGTGTTTTCCAACTTATCAGTTAATGATTGGTGACTGATGCATTGAAAAAACAAAACGTGATTTGTTATTACTGGATCTGGAGTTTGTTAGTCATTGACGGCTTGCCACCAAACACCCCGTTTCGGGCGATGCCACTTGAGATTGGAATGCGAGGCCGATTCACGTCTTGACTCGTAACCAAAGAAAGAGCTCCACCTGAAATTGTTCATAAAATTGTCATGGTAGAATGGAGATAAACCTACTGTGTTGGAAAATCAGAGGTATATAACGAAATTATAATAGCTCTAAATTGTTCATTTAAAACCTCACGCTACGCGTTCGGTTTTAAATGAAATTTAGAGCTATTATAATTTCGTTATATACCTCTGATAATAGCTCTAAATTGTTCATTTAAAACCTCACGCTACGCGTTCGGTTTTAAATGAAATTTAGAGCTATTATAATTTCGTTATATACCTCTGATTTTCCCACACAGTAGGTTTATCTCCTAAACATACTCTGTCAGCAACTTTGAAGGTTATATATTATGACGTCTAATCTGATAAAATGTCAGGTGGTTTGTTTACAAGAAGTCATTTTTTGCTTACAATGCTTTCATGTTTGTTTTCAGGCAATAGAAGGACTTGAGCAACAAATTGAACAAAACAACATTGATCACGCTGAACTGGAGGAAAGAATGAAGAAAGAAGGTGATGAACACATGACAGAGATAGAAAAGAAGAACGGGGAAATTGAAAATCGTAAGCTGATATATAATATCTATATATATAATTTATAATATATATAATAATATATATTTCCAACAAACAGATATGAAAAATAATTACCTGGATGTACATGTAGTTGACATGTATATTTACCTTATCAAAGTAGTGTATCTGAACGCAGCTTATGAAGTGTGTGCACTCAGAAGCCAAAATATGTGCTCCCAGAGAGAAACTCACAATCCTAAAACGCAGGTTAAGCGAATCAGAGACATGACCAGTCACAATCGCGAATTGTGAGAAGGCCTGTGCTAGAATGACTTTAAATGTTTAATACGAAAATGCCTGGCTTTCACCACTGGCAGAAAAACGTTAGCGACGTAGCGAATATGTCACCACGCTATAACCAATTCTTGTCCATGATCTTTATGGGATGTTTAGAGTAATGGAGTGCGGTGATAACCCACATGACAGTCCAACTGAGTTGGCTTTTGTGAATAGAGATTTGTTTCGCTGGGAATATGTTGTCAGAAGAATACATCGACGACGATGTCAAACCTAATCGTTTGTATGTCGATACCCATTATCTCTGACGATATTGGATACTGATTTACCACTGGCCGACTCTCGTGATGTCACCTTTACTATGATCTCAACATTTACCTTTTTTCGTCTATATAATAAAGTAAATAATGTTTAACATAATTGTTATTAGCCATTTCGATAATATAGTTTATATTGTCGATGGGATACCTGTTATATTGCTGTTTGTCATATTTGGGGAAGATATGACGACTATATTTACATGACAATCAATATCTGGAATGTGAAGAACTGATATCTAGTTCAATCCTCGCATCTTTGTCGTTTCAGTGAAGACAGCATTGTCAAAGTCAAATGACGAGTTGCAGCAGTCTCAAGCAAAATGTGAGAACGTGGAGAAGGTGGGTAGATGTAATGCTATGTGTTGTAAGTCTTAATCTGGACAACACCTGAAACAAAGAGGAACAATTACATGCACAGCATAATAATAAAACGACAAATGAGATGCAGCGATATCTGTCGTTTCAGACCCTGCTGGAAGAACAGGAGGCATACGATGCTTTAGTGGGTGTTCCAAGGTCACAGTCTCAAGACAGGATAGACAATACAGAGCAAGTCCAACATGGAGTGTAAATTAGACAGACCAAGAATCCTTCATGTATGCATGAGATCTGGCAGAAACCTTTACGTGACAGTGTTTTGTCACTTTACTCAAAAACTACAAGTACAATCGTTTTCTAATTTAGCACATTTGCATGGCCAGGTGGCTGTTCCGATTAGTCGCCTTACACCCTTGACAGTTAAGATGTTATTGTGTCTTGACACAATGATAGCTTATATAGACAACTGTTTTATTACAAAATCATAGTTCATGAAATTCAAAATTCACTAGAGTAGAGCAATTATAATGCATCATGCTAAATTAAAAAACGATTGTACCTGTAGTTTTTGAGTAAAGTGACCAAACCCCGTCACGAAAAGTTTTTTTGCCAAATTATAACATAATTTTAACAAAAGTTTGAGTGGATGTGTCTAACTTCGTTTCGTGATATTTTTATGCTGTTAGGTTCCACTGAGACAGTGTGCCAGTTTTCAACTCAGTCCTGTTGTGATGAGAGTCAGCTTCGTCTTCTTCCATGCCTTCATTCTGCCTGCAAGCCATGCCTTGATCACCAAGCTACACAGGCGGAAGAGACCTACATACACTGTCCTTCCTGTGGTCCTGACTTCACCATGGAGCAGACAACAGTAGATCATGTCAGACGGAATGAAGCTGCCTATAAAGTCAACGCTGATGGTGAGATGAAATGCAGCTACATCGATGAGGATCATGATGCAAAGGCTGTGGTCTACTGTCACGAATGTGATGACAAGCTCTGCTCTGACTGTCATAAACTCCACGACAAACCGAAACGGAATCGAAATCACAGAGTAACTGAGGTCAACCAGTCAAAGAATATCCCCATGAAGCAGTGGCTGAAGGAACATAATTGCAGAGACCACCCTGCCAACAAACTGCAGCTGTATGACCACACCTGTAAGAAGGCAGTCTGTCGTGTATGTGAACTTGGGGCCCACAACAAGCACAAGAATGAAGACTTGAATCAGGCCTATGACGTAGCGAAGGGTCAGCTGGAGAAGCAGGTGAAGAAGCAGCAACATAAACTGAAAGATGTCACTAGCAGGATGAAAACTGTCACAAGTCACCAAACTGAACTGGGAACTACTCAGAGAAGACTGGAACAAGTTGCTACTAAAGTCTGTAAAAGTGTTGCTGCAAGGTTCCTTCATCGACAGAGACAACTCATGGAGGACATTCAGGTGAGTCTACAGTCCCCATACAGACTGGTTCAAGAGAAACTTGACACCTTACATAACGTCCATACTTCAATAGTATCTGCGATAGACTACACCCAGAGAACACTTGAATTAACAAGACGAGAGGAGCTCATTACTCTCACAGATGTACTTCAGACGAAATGCGATGACAATCTGAAGAGGGGGCTTCCAGAAGATGACACACAAGATACGAAGATCCTTCTTACCTTTCAAGGTCAGAAAGCTCTCACGGAACTCATCGACACATTTGGTGGACTTGTCCCCAGCCTCAACGTGGATCACATACCAGATAAACAACCTACTTTACAGGGTAACGAGACTTTTCGAAAAATGTAACATACAAAGCACTTTTCCTAATCTTAAGAAGTCTCTTCTAAAAGTTCTGCTAAGAGTTCATTACATACAGATAAAATATAACTGGAAATTGAAAACATTTACCATATTCCTCGCATGAATTACAACTTTATTTTAATATTATGGGTTCCTACTGCACTGACAATCGGCGTGCGTCGTGTACAACACCCTAAGACGTTAGTTTGAAAGCAACTCCTGTGTCATTCCCCACAAGCAAAGATAGTATCTTCTCACAGTCGAAAAGCAAAAGAAAATGAGTTACATGATCATGTGTGCAATTCTTACATCACGTTAAGTTATTATATCTTTCATGTTTTAATATTATTGCTTATCGTTTTTGGAAATCTCTTGTAATTACATGTTTAGTGGCCTTCATAAAATGGTATTGTATTTGACTTGACGAGATTCTAATCAACATGTGTTTGTATTTTCCTCTTCAGAACTCCAAAAATGGAATATGCAATTGACCGTAAAAGAGGAAGACACCAGGAAGGTAATGTTCTGCTTTTATAAAAGAATATATCTAAGACACTGATGAAAAAAAGGTTACTGAGAAAGTGTTTTTAAAGGCTCTTAACACTGAGCACATTTATGATTTGTATTGTGAGATACATTCAATATACACAGCTACTGTATGAAGTCGAAGGTTATATTCTGATATTTATGATGCAATCATCGTTGTTTCAGGTGCATGAAGGGGTGGTGGCATCAGCTTGGGAGATCATTCATCGTTTCACAGGTACAAGATAATAAATGAATAAAGGTCGGGAAAAGCAGATCAAATGTCGAATGAACCACATCATCTTTCTACTTCCATTTGAAATATCAGAGCAGTCGTTGATATGAAAATAAGAACTAATGAGACGTTATTGACTTTAAATTTTGAAATTCAGTTCAAATATTTGTTTCAGCAGGAACCGTTCCCCCGATATCGGGATCACAAAGACTCCGACCTGAACAGCTGGCGTCACAGGAAGTCGCACCTGAACCGCTGACATCACAGGACGTTTTTGAAGCTGCTAAACATGTACGCTGAATGTCATACAAATGCCCCGAAATCAGAATATAAGCTCCATATTATAAAATGAAGTGGGATTCAGTTCAGTTCTTCTTTCCATTTAGATTTATGCATATCACTAATACAATCTGACAATCTTTCATCGTTCATTTTCAGTTCATAATCGGGAGCAATCATCCCTTCAGAGTCACCTGAGCGTAGTCTATACCTGAAAGGTTTGTACATGGGGATTTGTTGTTTAGTTGTTGGAATCTTCTCCAAGTAAAGGTTACAGATACTAACATTTTCAGAAGTTTCGTAGGATGTCATCAGTTAATTCCATTGACAGATAACAGATGCTCCTATAACTGTTATTTTCAATTGGAATTATTTCGACTTTGGAATTATCACGCATTATCACGTTAGCTATCACGTAGTTAAAAGCGTACTCTGATATGTAACAGTGTAGCAAGGACTCAGAAAAGACTTTTGTGTTATTCGGGATGCATAACAATTTAACACCCATGGTGTCTACCTTCTGGCGTGTGAGATAATGTGAAAAGAAACAGAGTTGAAAACATTGAATAAAACAGTAAATGTAGTTGACTGCACTGTATAAGACAATATGATCTGTGCAGTTCATTTAATTTTGTGTTTCCTAATTTTCTGTTTTAACATGGGTTGCCAATGTCGACTACAGCACCTCCACTGCTTGAGTAGAGTTGCGACCCTTATATGTGTCATATTCCTGTGATCCTACCCCAACAATGTTCAAAGCGACGATAATCAAAACTCGCTGATTCGCTAACACTTTATACTGTGGAGTATATGTGATATCAGTCTACAGAAACAAAGCCATGTGTTACCTTGACAACTATGTTTCAGGGTATTCAGGCACGATGCACATCATCAGCGGGAAAAAAGGTTCTAGACTCATCACATGTAAGTAAACTTTATTCTTTTATGCAGTTGTTGTTTTTTTTTGGTGGCGAATTCTAGGCGTGGCAGTATTGTTCATCTGACGGGACCACAGCATATAAAACATCATCAGTGGTCTTATTTGGAGTTACAATGTATTTGTAGTTCGTGTCATCAGCAACTGATAGGCTGACTTCACAATTATCACACCGCCAAGATGAAGATGGAACGCTGCTGCAAATGTCCATGCCTAAGTTAAGGAACGTACCTCCAATTTGACTACCCTTCCAATACACAATCTGTTCCAGTCAAATAGTTTTTAATTACTACTCACTTCCCTCCATCAGGTAGACTATTCCACCATAATAATAAATGTATAATAACAATTACAATATTGTACCAGATTTATGCAATATTTATTCAGCTAATTACATAACACTGTATACTTCAACTACTAAATCATATGAATATGATCACAACAATAGGAGGTAATCATGTCTTCATGACAATAACATGTCCAGCTACGTTAGGTCAAGGTGGAAGAGTTCAAGGGAATTTACAAACACTGTTTTGCCAAACAACTTGTAGCCTGTATCCCTAAACTGTACCATTCATTCTCATTGATCAGTTTAAGCAGCTATGGTGTCGCTCTGCTGCTGGCTCATCGAAGGGTTATTACTGTATAATGTATAAGCATTCACTATTTTCAGAACCTTAGTTGTTACAATTACCTTATTACTATAGACGCAGGTTTAGTATATTTAGAAGAGATCTGATTGCATGGAATGCAGTATACTCCAGTGAGACTCGAGCCGTTGTATTTTTTTAATTATTATTTTTTACTTTAATGCCGCACTCAGCAATAATCCAGCTATATGACGGCCGTCTGTAAATAATCAGTTCTGGACCAGTGTTCAACAGCTTGAAAATCAGTTGAGGCAAAAGAGATACAATGGCATGTGTCCACCAAGTGAGCGAGCCTGACCATTCGATCCCGTAAGTCGTCCCTTACTGAAGATCAATTCTAACCCGGATCGACACGGATACCCAAGCCCTTTTACTATTCAGTTAGACATGTATGGTGGCGTGGACAATTGTTATGCTTTATGCATTCTGCATACATTCAGGTAGCACAAGTACTGTGTGTCTCCAATGTGATCCAAGCCGTTGTTCTATCCAGGTACATTAACACCTAGGCCGATCTGTGACATTAATGAAAAGGGTTAAATGGAATAGGTTCACGATGGCCTGAAATTTCATTATTCAGTATATTTATTCATATACTAAGCACTGTCCAGTATGGAAAACGTTAGAGAATAAGTAAAAGTCGAGTCACTATATTTCGATCAAGACGATGATAGTATGTTTCAACATAGTGCAAATCATCATTAAATATCAGGTGGGATTATTGTGGATTATTGTTAGAATGAGTTATTTCAAATTTCTTAAGAATAATAATAACGTAGCGGTTATACATACGCAGTTCGTTTACAAATATCTGTCCCCCTCGAGACACGACACTACCTCCCCACACAGCGAGTGTCATGAAACTGTGTTCAGTGATTGAAGTGGACGTAGAAGTTCCCGGTTCACGTTATGACTCTTTAACACTTAAATGTAAAAACATCGTCAAACAGCAATACTATCTGTCTCACTCTTTACTATGTTGTATAACAAGAGGTTAGAATACCCATGATGACAGTTTTATTGTGATAGGATGCTGAAATATTTCCGTAATAAGCTGTCATGGTGTCATTTTCTGTGATTGCAGTCACAGCAAACAAAGTCAAATGTAACTTTGTAAAAAGTATGTCAGACAGAGTTTATGTGTTTACCAATGCGTGTAGAAATGTATGGCAAACAATTTAAATACCCATCTGGATAGTATCATGTCGTTATTATTACTATCTAGGGCACGAGTATCGTTGTATTTACAGACGGACGAAAATGGCAGCCGATCATTTAGTGCGCTGTTTTGGAATCACTGACACGGGACAAACAATACAATGATATATTGTAGGAAATACAGATGCTAAACTCAATAAAATAACAATTGTATATTTCCAGGTCCTAAACTCCAACTGGACGCTGGTCGAGCCAACCCACTCCGGTGCCATGTTACTACAGACGGTGAGCTCGTCAACTCGCCGCTCGCCACACAACACACGGACAGAGGCAGACTACGGGAATTGTTTGGCACGTGTAGCTCCACCCCCATCCCCCTTCCTCCATCCCCCTCTAGTGTCACCCCTGTCCCCCACACAACACGATACTGGGAGACCAACACCAGGGTGGGTGTGGTGGATAGAGTGTGGTGGCCTGTCCTGGAGGTGGGTGTGGGGGAGCAGAGCCAGATAGACAGTGAGGTGTATGTTTGTGACCAGCCCCGCTCCTGGTGTGTCAGTGTAGGGAGCTGTTACACACACCGGGGGAGTGTCTGTACCATGGTGAGTCTGGCGGGGAAGTGGGGGAAGTGTTACAGAAACACAATGTCTGACACACCCGGCACACAGGCCACCCTCCACTATGGCGTTGTGTTGGATGTCGGGAGGGGTAGAATAGGATTTATTGACGTAGACAGGTCGGTTGTTTTAGGGAAAGTTGATGTGGAGTTCAACGAGGATCTTCTCCCTGTGTTTGCTGCCGATCCGTTCAGTGACTGCACAGTAAACATGAAGGTGGTCAGTGGGGAGGAGATCCTCATGTCTGACATCAAGAAATCACTCATTAATGAAGTCCTGGCCTAAGAAATAAACTACACATGACCCAGTGTAAACCTGTAAATATCACACATCAACTTTATCAGAAAAATTCAATACAACAGAACTGAAAGAAGCGGACATAGAAGTTACCTGTTCATGTGTTGTATGTTGTGTACAACAATGTTAGCTAAATATTAGCTAAATATGTCCGTTTTCTACAGGACAGTTTTCATTTGTGTACTAGAAGCATTTTACATCCACACAAGAGTATTGTTATGATTATTATTATGCGATACCTGATCAGTTTATGAAACATTTCATACATTTCTGGGGCATATCACAACTAACAACTAAGTTGATGATTGTGTAAAAAGTTGTTTCAAATCATGAATATCTTGACATATTTTGTTTCCACTCTGTGAAATAAATAATTTAAATACCCATATGTTGAGGCTATAGATTGAAATATAATATTTGTAGCTGTAAAATAGACATGTTGATGTCAGTTCAGTTAGACAATGAAAGTGATTGAAGCGGACATATAATGTCCCAGTTTTAATGTGCCATAGTACTTGTGTCAGGAGAGAAATGAAGCTACGAAACTGTCCGTTTCTTTATTCTATCAGTCCTGTTGTGTTTGGAAATAATTTCAATTTCCCACAGGGTTTACTTTGTGTTTTTTTTCTTGGTCCGTGTATCTACACAAATAATGTCAAAAGTACAATCCTGCCATGTTACAGAGTTGATTACAACATGGCTCCCGATGTACATTTACATGTGTGTATAAAATTGAAAACTGAAAGTTGTGTGTGAGTTACTGTCTAATTGAAACACTGGGTCTACCTCTGACAATGGGGTGTGTAGAGATGGATGTGCCACTCTAAGAGTTCCACGCCAATTTTAAAATATCAGGCTTTAGTTTTGGTCAGTATGACATGAGTTGATATAAAACATCTACCGTCTGTACCTGTTGTGATTGACTCCGATCTGTCTACTCCTCCAGTAAATTACAAGGTTTAACTAGGGGATAAATTATCACCAGAACCCCGCTTTAGAGAACTGTTTTTATCATCCAAAACTGTGTTCCGCAGGAGATATCGCTTGTGTGAGATCAAACGATATCTCCTAGATTTTGTACAATGCCCTGACAATGCTATGACGTCATGTACTTGATAACGTCACAATGCTATGACATCGCTGCACTGCAAGTGTAATGGCAGTACCATGTTCAGAGATGCACTCGTTGATAAAGTAAAAATATCCTCGGCAAGCCTCGGATATTTGTAACTTTATCAACTCGTGTTGATATAATTGATATCAGAAGACACTTGGGTGAGATTCTCTATGTATTCAACTACTTTGCGATGTCATGTGGACTGGTTGACTTATCTGATAAATGCATGCATTGAC